GCGGCGCCCAGCAAACCAGCGGCCCGGTAGGACTTGTTCCACGGACCGGTACCGGTCCGCGGACCGGTGGTTGGGGACCCCTGCTTTAAGGGATTTCAGATTTCAGCCTTTGCTCCAAACAGCCTATTTCTATCTGCCCATTGGACCTTACTGCAAGCCAATCACTGACGTGGAGCAACTTCCAACTTTCTGCCAGCTTTCCAATTGGCTTTGCTCAGAAATCCTTCTACTTTGGTTGACCAGCAGAACTGCTTGTCACTTTGCTGGGAGGAGGGGACAAAGGGAACCATGGACTAGGAGGAAAACTCCACTCCTCCTGATCCCAGCCTGTCCCCAAAGTCCCCTTCCATCCAAAGGTCTCATCTATCAAGGGTCCCTACCTTGCTAGCAGGCAGCCAAATTGCTACCTTGTCCTTCCCTTCCCACTCACTGCCACTGAGGGATTTAAAATTTCAGTCTTGATTCTTTTCTACCAGCCAATTGCATATCGGGTGCAGAGAGAAAGCCACATAACATATGGATTTTTGGGAAATGTAATCAGAAGGAGCTGTAATGCAGAAGTAGCCACAACTTCCCCAAATTTCATCTCCCAGGAGTCATAGGTCTCAGCATTCTTTGTTATCCCATTGGAGTTAACTTGGTTCAATAATTGTTCCCCTATACTTTCTAATTTCCCTCAACTGAAAGTTGGAAAAAAAGGGAGAGAGGAGTTTAATAATACATACATGGAAGATAGCTATGAAGACTTCTTAAAAGCCAGACAAATTACCAACACATTAACAAAATCACAATAGGCCAGCCATCTTGCTCAACAGTGGTTTTTCACAGAGAAACCAGAGTTTCTATAAAAATTCCCAAGTTTAATTCCTGGCTTTTCACTTAGGAAGATGAGGTAAAAAAAATAATGGAAAGATCATAATCAAGATTCTGCATAATTTAATCAAGGAAAGATAAAGGCCTAAAAGTTTGCACAAGTTAGCTTTTGAACAAGGAACTAATCCATTTTAACTAAAGCTGTATCAAGAATGTCATAACAGGTGGCAACACTTAGGCATTCTTGACTGAACCTGGTTAATACTTTATTTTTATTTATTTATTTTATTTATTTATTTTTGTCAATTGTTTACAAGATAATAGGTATAAGTAAAAACATAGTTATGAATACATGGATACATATAAGAATAAAAAAATAAAAGAAACAATAGGACAGGGACGGTAGGCAAGTTGCTTATGCACACCCCCTATAAATAAGAGACCATCAGAACTTATAGATAAAATGGGACGTTAAAAAAGCATTTTGCAAAAAAGGCAAACTTTTTCCACACTGTTGCCAAGGTAACTTCACAGATATTATACATATAATTACCAAGAGTCAAAATTAGTATCAAGGGAATTTTTACTGTTTTTCTCAACACCTATAACTAGGCCTGGTCAACAGGAGCATCAGCATGAGGTGGAAGTGATAGAATAAACTGTAACACTTTTTCTGGAAAGTGACATAGCATATTTTTTTTAAACATGCAGCCAATTATTTTATGGACTTCTGGAACAATTTTTTGCCACAGAAAAACAGCTAATCTGTTTTCATCTTGTCACTGTGGATGACTTCATGGAGAGCCATGCACATACTAGAACTTATAGGACAAACAAGCAAATGTTTTGCTTGTAACAGACTCCGGATCAAGCTCCATCATTTAAAGCAATGGGCGTCCAACTTTTTGGCTTGCCTGAAGAATAAACAGAATTGTCTTGGGCTATATATAAAATATGCATAATAGTTAATACATAGAGCCAACTTCCTTTATTTTTATATTATCTTGTGAGACTGCATTACTAGCTTCCAGGGGCACAGGTGTTCCATGGACCAGAGGTTGGACACACCTGAATTAGAGAATGAAAGCTACTGCCAGCCCAAGAAAAGCAGATCTTTTTAGATAGCTTCTTAGATAGAACAATGGCAAGTCTTTGCAAACTTTTTAATGGTGGTATTAGTTTTAGTTCAACTTAATTTTCTAAACAATGTCATATTGTTTATTAATACTTACATATTATTTTATTAATACTTTTAACATACTTTTATTAACACTACTTACTTTTACCATACTCCTACTAACAATTACCACCACTCAAGATAAAGTAACCCAAAGGAAACAAACATTTTGTGGGGCAGAATAGAATAGGGAAACCCAGTCTGAAGCAGTCTTTGGCTTCCCTAAGTCATAGTTTCATTAGCCTTGGTTATATATGCTAGGACTGAAGAGAAATGTAGTCCAATACATCTGGACAGCCCTTATTTGGACAAAAACTGCTTTGGACAGAAAAAAACACTTTGAAGGAAGGCAACACTGATTCCTCTGGCAGCCAAGTTATAGCCTAGGAGTAAAGAAACTCTATGGGTTCTCAAATTATTGAGCTTCCTGTCACTCCTTTGGCACTGTTTGTTGAACTGCTGGGAGTTGAAGTTTAGCAAAATTTGGAAGGCAACAAGTTCTCCAACCCAGGGGTCGCCAACCTTTTGGACGTCAGGGACCACCAAACTCATAATTTTAAATCCTGTGGACCAGGGACCCTGGGAAAATCCCAAAAAAAGTCTGCAGAAAAATTCCCCACCCCATTCTTTTTTTGGGATAACAGGATACCATCTCCAGCTCCGTTCTTGGGGGTGTGGGGGGGGAGAGAAACTTTTGGCTTCATGCAAGGAAAGCAGCAGAAGCAGCAGAAGTCTTTCTTTCTCTCCCCTAAACTCCACCAGAAATGAGTTTTTGTGAGACTTGTCGTGCCAGCGCAGCCTCTTGGAGCAGGATGCCTTGCAGGGTCCCAAAGACTCATTTCTGGTGGAGTTCGGGGGAGAGAAAGAAAGACTTTTGCTGTTTTCCTTGTGTGTAGCCAAAAGCAGAAGAAAAAAGTGGAAAGCAGCAGCCTGGATTAATTGCTTTGGGGGTGACATTTCTCTGCAGACCACCAAAATTTTCTCGTGGACCACCAGTGGTCCCCAGCCCACTGGTTGGTGACCACTGCTCCAATCCATTTCATAAACAATTCCAAAGCTTCCACTGTATTAGTTACAGAAACATTGGGGGGATTATCACTGACTGTTTCAACAGATACCATTAATGTTTCTCACAAACTTTATCTTTCTATATACAGACTTGTACAAAGTTGATGAAACATAGAAAGCAAAAGTAAAATCAATTTAACCTAATCCAGATCACAGTAATGAATTTGCCCTGGCAAATTCAAACATCTAAACAGAGTCAGACTGGGTTCATCCTTAGATAGAAGATAGTAGAAAATTCCAGGCCTACAAGCTAGCCTGAGAAAGACTTGTAAAAATCTTCAAAATATGTTAACAATTACATCTGCAACACTGCCATGAAAATTCTATGGCTATGTTTGTGTCCTCACTAGGAATCAAACTCTACCCAAGAGAATCTTGCCCATTTAACATTACTTCCTAATAAAATGCTCTTTTTAGATTTTGCAAGCTGAGGAATAAATGTGTTTTAAGTCATCCTACGCTCCAGCAAAAAAAATAAACACCTTCAAGTCTAATCATAGGATATGACTTTGTAGAAAATTAAATTAGGTGGTTAATTGTTTGATGTCTATCTCAAGGCTTATGAATATGAGTTACACATTTTAGATGTGGAGAATTTTCTCTCCTTGAAGAAAATATGCCTTCAATATTTGACAGAAAGTATTTTTCTATTTTCAATCCAGTGGGTCTACCTAGTTCTTAAATAAGCAGAGTGTCAGGTTTCCAAGTAATGAAATCCATTTTAAAAGAAAAATAACCAAGTTATGGGCTTGACACAGAGAACATATAGACACAGTAGCAGAATATAGATGATAGTATTTATTCCACATGGCATGACCACTGCTGAGTAGAGGACATGGTTAGTTCTTCAGATACATTCACTGCTACTCAGGAGAGTCTGCAACAAGCCAAGATATCAAAATGAATTGTGAAAAAAAACTACCAAATGATGTAATCATGTACAGATATAATACAAAAGTTGTGACATTTGCATGATAATGTAACCATGCATGTGGTATCATCTAGCTCCTCTTATTCTCTCTCCACCATGCTGGCACTCCCAGTTAACAACACAATAAGTGATGGGAAAAACTTCAAAGAATTGAACCCATAAGTTAATTCTGTGTAAGTTGATTTCATATGTTTGACCCAAAAAGGATTGTATAGAACATCTTTCCACAACCTCCAAATAGCAATTCTTAAGTCATAACCCAATCATAGGTGGAGGACAACATGCTGGAGAAGAGTGACATGAAGTGTGCTTCCAAATCAGGCAGTACCAAATTTTAAACTCAGCCCCCCCCCTTCCCCGACCCACTTTGTATAGCACAGGAGAATGGGAGCATTTTTAGCCACCCAGTGGATATATATATTTAAAAGCACAACTATAATGGGAAAATACCCGAACAAAGCTGAATACCATACATGTAAGTACCCACGAAAACTTAACACACACACACACACATATATATATACACACACATACATAGATATATATGCCGCCTAGCCATATAAATAAACAAACACATAGAACAAGGAATGTGTGTCCTGTATTTAAATATTTAATCCAGGCTTTTACTGTCATGTGTCCTCCAAACAGGTTAGCCTCCAATCCCCATTATCCAGTCCAGCATGGGCTCAGGATGATGGGAATGTCAGCCTTTTCACATATCTGGAGCACACTTTCTGGCAAGATACGGAGGACTTAAATTTAACTGAAGACGGCTAGGAATCGCTAGTAGCACTACTACTAGGCCAACTCCCGGCGACCAAGAAGAGGCGTACCTTTTCACCTACTCTTTCCAGCATTTAGCCAGCTGGCTACTTTATCGCCCGCCCTCCCTCACGCTATGCCGCCTTCTGCCCACTCCGGTCTTCGGGCAGTTCTCAGGCCTACAACCTGCAGCCGGGTGGGCTCTCTCTCCCATGCACGGAGGTGGGGGGGGGGGGGAGAGAAACTCACGCGTTGCCCACGTGGATGCGGGGCGCCACCTCGTTGCTGTGCGCGCTGGGGAGGCTGTAACAGCCACTGCCGTTGGCCAGCAGGTCGTTGAGCTCTTCCACCGAAATCTGGAACTCTGACATGGCTCGTTCGTCCCGCCGATATGGGCAGGGCCGCCTCCACGCTCTTTTCCTCGGGTCCTGCCTGATAGGAGGGGCCGCGATCAGCTGGTGCACGGCCGGCAACTCCCAAACTGGCCAGGAGGGAATGGCGCGGAGCTTAGACCGTGCGCCTTAGGGGGGCTCCGCCCTCGGAGTTTGGCCGTCCTAAAGGGACCGTGCGGTGTTTTTCCTGGGGAGGGAGACGGCTTTCTCTCTTTCATTTTTCCTGGGGGGGGGGGTTCTTTCGCACCAAATTGCATATTTAGGGTCGACTCCCTAATGACTTAGAGCACAAGTTCAGAGGCCCATAGTGTCCGTCTGGGTAGAGACCACGCACGTTGCCTATGTGTACTATGCATGCTCCAGATTCATTTGTTCTTAATGTTTACCATTTAATGCTACAGGTGCTTAGGATCGATTTTGGAGGGAAACTCTAGTTCCTGGTTTGTAAAGGTAATCAGTTCAAACGTTTTGTCTGACGCTTCTCTTGTACCAAAGAAATGACACCTCACACTAGATGAGAGACCCTTTTCCACACTGTTTTCCCCCAAAGTCAAGGTCATGTATATTATAGAAACTCCACCCATTCTTGATCTTACCCGACAGGCCATATTCAGGTTTGTCAACCTATCAGCAATCTATTCTCATCTTTAGAAGGGCCGTTGCAAAATTATGAGATGTTCCAATTATGTGTAAATAAGCTATACAAAATTCAGCAGATGTTTACATTTTTCACTTAGATAACCCAATTTTCTGAATATGCACAGTAGAATGAACATAAAGTAATTCTACAGCTAGTGTTCACATGATCCATTAGGCTGGACTATACTGAGTTGATAGTTTTATGTGTTGCAACTGTTCAACTTGAATTTTAGCTGCAGTGGAAGTTATTTGCTTTCAGGGGAACTTGCTTCCTAAAAAATGTATTTCTGTCTTATGTTTATTTTCTTTCTTTCCTTCAGGAACTACAAATGACTTATATGATTCTTCCTACTCTTTCATTTTATCTTTGTAGTACTCTTGTGTAGATTAGTGTGAAAAATAATAGATATGGTCACAAAGCATCCCATTAGTATATTTATAGTTTCTTCAATAAATTGCAATTCACTGATTTCAGACAATCATGGTCTTTCAACATGCATAGAGTAAATTTCTCAGTATTGAATTCATTTTTTCCTTTGCAAAGTAAGAGGCAATACTTAAAGTTTGATTTATTTTTACAAATTGGTAACTGCAAAGCATATCCTCAAGGAATAATTTCTCATCATTTCTGCAAAACAGACACACACAGACACACATAGGGTCCTCAACTTACTACCAGAATTGAGCCCAACGTTTCCTTTGCTAAGTGAATTTTGCCCCATTTTACGAACTTTTAGCCATCATTGTTAAGCAAATAATTGTAGTTGTTAAATGAATCATGAGGTCATTAAGCGAATCTGGCTTCTCCATTGACTTTGTCGGAAGCTGGCTGGAAAGGGTTAGAAAGGGTGATCACATGAGTCCAATACAGTAATTGTCATAAATACATGCCAGTTGCAAAGTGCCTGAATTTGATCATGTGATTATGGGCATGCCGGAACAGGCATGTGAAAAACAGTCATATGTCATTTTTTTCAGTGCTATAACTTTGAAAAGTCACCAAATGAATGGTTGTAACTCGAGGATTACCTGTGTATGTATACATGTTTATGCATATATATAGTTTTTATTAAAAATTTTGATTATTATACAATTTAAATGTAAAAAAAGAAAAGAATAAAAAATAAAAATGTATAAAAAAGATTTTAATAATGAAAGAGAAAAATATATAAAGATGTGGTTTTCAACCTTCATTGCAAGAATTATAAACACATTTAGTGATTCTTCACACCCCTCTAAGGTTACAAATATACACCCCATATTCAAGCTCTTTATCTACAAACAAATCCATAAAACATAATCATTTCAGTCTTGATGTCAGCAGAAAGTCCATAAAGAGTTGCTGAAAATAGCAATCTTATTTTAACCTTGATCAACCAACTATATATTTTCTTCTTCTAACAGTCTTAATCTTTAGTTCCTTCAAATCTTGTCACAGATTTTGATTTCTCTTTATTTTTTCTTTGGGTGGCATGATGGTTCAATGGTTAAGACGCTGGGCTTGTCGATTGGAAAAGCCAAAAGCCCAGATTCAAGACGCATTATGCGACGGGATAAGCTTCCGTCCTCACCTTGTTCCTGCCAACATAGCAGTTGGAAAGCATGCAAATGCAAGTAGATACATAGATACCACTTCGGTGGGAAGGATGCTCCATAATGTCATAATGGCCACATGACCACGGAAATGTCTTAGACATCCCTGGCTCAATGGCCCTCAAAACAGAGATGAGCTCTGCCCCATACAGTCAGCAACCACTAGCAAATAAGATCTTCAGGGACTCCTTTACCTTCTTTGTCCTATTGCATAGATTTCTTCAAAGCGTTAACTTTTTAATTTGCAAATATGTCTTCCAAGCTCCAGTTTTATCTTCCTGGACTGTAATTCATTCTTTCTGCTGGAGGAAAAGATGGGAGACTAAATGACAGTGAATTATCTTCTGACTCTTCCTCTTGTCCTTCTTTCTAGCTTTCTTGACTTGGATGTTGAGATGGCATCCTTGTTTTCATTCTGCTAAACTCCCTGTGCATCTGGTAATAAGCTCACCATGGCACGGAAGGACACTGCACCTCTGCCGACTCTGAAGCTATTGTTGATTGGAGACAGCGCAGTGGGGAAATCCAGGTGCATGGGCAGGGTCACAGAATGGGAAAGCATTGGGGAACTTTGTTTCAGAGAAAAAGGCAGATAGACGGTCCTTGTGGTTTACTCCTTTTTCTTCTTTTCTCTGTTTCTGTAGCCTTTTGCTGAGATTTGCTGAAGATACGTTTGAGCCATACCTCAGTCCAACTATTGGTGAGCAATGCTGCCTGTACATATATACGGAGGGGGCGACTGGGTGGGGCAGAATTATGACTATTGCAGCCTCCCATCTTGATAGCCAATCTAAACATCTTAATTAAACACACAAACACACACACACAATTTTAGTGTTCCTCATATTTGAATAGAATAGAGTAGAGTAGAATAGAGTAGAATAGAATAGAATAGAATAGAATAGAATAGAATAGAATAGAATAGAATAGAATAGAATAGAATAGAATAGAATA